GTAATATTTTTTATAGTAAAAATAAAAATTTTTAAATTTGAATGATATACGTGTGTGTGTATATATATATATATATGAACAATAATATAAGTTAAGGAATAAGTTTCATTGTGTAGTCTAAAATTTTAAAAAAAAAAATTTAAAAAAAAAAAAAAAAACCACTCCCTGACAGTGTGACTAATATCCACGTTTACCTTGAAGAGAGATAATTCCAAAATATGAATATCAACAAAATGTAGACATACCTGCACCTGATCAGTATTTAACCAACTGATGACCTCTTTCCCGTCATCATTCGTTGGAAGCTATGGTTTAATAGAAACAGAAAGCCAGATCAATAGCAGTGAAAACATGAAAAAAAAATCTGTTTCCATTTCTCTTAGCCTTTAAAGCCAGTTCCAATTGACTTCAAAATCTCTGACTGTTTTAAGTTTTTAACTTTTCTTTTGTTTTGGTTCTTTGTAAATTTTTTTATTTGGACCCAACCCAACACGAAGCATTATTATCTCCACCTTTTTTTTTTTGTTGACTTATAAAAATACTGCAATTATTCAGTTGCCAATAATTTGACTAAAAATATCTCAATAACAATCTCGTTTTAAAAGAAATAAGAGATTTTTTATTTAAATTATATGCCACGAAAATAGAGTTTGCTTCTTCATTATGCAACTCAAAATATTCGCGTATAAATCATTGTTGGGACTCAATCAAAGCCCTATTCCACACAAAAATAACAAAGATTGAAGAAATTGCCAGCATTAATGATGCTCTAAGAATTTTTCTACCAATAATAATAACACTTGAAGAATTTATTTCCACAGGCTAGTAATTAATAAACAATAAGAAAAAAAATTATTTTCAAAGTTCAAACTGATACAACACTACAGATTCAGATACACAAGAATTCCTCCCTTAACTCGCCTACTCCAAGATTTAGACGACTGTAGGTGGGGAAAACCCTGAAGGTGATAATGGAAAGACCAAACTAGGAGAAAGTGGAAGTTGAGGCCCTGGACCAAAAATCCCTGACTGAGAAAAGTGTGAGAAAGGAAAACTAGGTGTCATTGGAGGGAGTTCGGTACTGGGAGACAATATGGGATCAGGGGACAAGAAATTGGGGTAATCAGTGGGTAAGGGCAAAGGTCCATTCATTCCTAGTGAAGGGATATTAGGCATTGGTGAGAGGGGACCATTCATTCGTGGAGAAGGAAGACCAAGCATAGGTGCTACAAGGTCATTAACGGCTCTTGGGGAGGGGAAAAGAGGCATGGGTGGATTAGGAAGGAAACCAGAAGACAGTGGCTGAGCTTGAGGCTGACCTGGAATAGGAGGCTAAAGATGAGGATGAACTTGGCCTCCAACTGAACTTGGACTCATAATGGATGTTTGAAGGTAGTGTATGAGAAGTGACCCTGCTGCATTTCCCCAACCCGAGTCTACAGGGTCATTAACTCCTCTTGGGGAGGGGAAAGGAGGCATGGGTGGATTAGGAAGTAAACCAGAAGACGGCGGTTGAGCTTGAGGCTGACCTAGAACAGGAGGCTGAAGATGAGGATGAACTTGGCCTTCAATTGGACTTGGACTCATAATGGATGTTTGAGGGTAGTGCATGAGAAGTGACCCTGCTACATTTCCCCAACCCGAGTCTATAGGGTCATTAACTCCTCTTAGGGAGGGGAAAGGAGGCATGGGTGGATTAGGAAGTAAACCAGAAGACGGCGGCTGAGCTTGAGGCTGACCTAGAACAGGAGGCTGAAGATGAGGATGAACTTGGCCTCCAATTGGACTTGGACTCATAATGGATGTTTGAGGGTAGTGCATGAGAAGTGGCTCTGCTGCATTTCCCCAACCCGAGTCTACAAGGTCATTAACTCCTCTTAGGGAGGGGAAAGGAGGCATGGGTGGATTAGGAAGTAAACTAGAAGACGGCGGCTGAGCTTGAGGCTGACCTGGAACAGGAGGCTGAAGATGATGTTGAACTTGGCCTCCAACTGGACTTGGACTTATAATGGATGTTTGAGGGTAGTGCATGAGAAGTGACCCTGCTGCATTTTCCCAACTCGAGTCTACAGGGTCATTAACTCCTCTTGGGGAGGGGAAAGGAGGCATGGGTGGATTAGGAAGTAAACCAGAAGACGACGGCTGAGCTTGAGGCTGACCTAGAACAGAAGGCTGAAGATGATGATCAACTTGGCCTCCAACTGGACTTGGACTCATAATGGATGTTTGAGGGTAGTGCATGAGAAGTGACCCTGCTGCATTTCCCCAACCCGAGTCTACAGGGTCATTAACTCCTCTTGGGGAAGGGAAAGGAGGCATGGGTGGATTAGGAAGTAAACCAGAAGACGACGGCTGAGATTGAGGCTGACCTAGAACAGGAGGCTGAAGATGAGGATGAACTTGGCCTCCAACTGGACTTGGACTCATAATGGATGTTTGAGGGTAGTGCATGAGAAGTGACCCTGTTGCATTTCCCCAACCCGAGTCTATAGGGTCATTAACTCCTCTTGGGGAGGGGAAAGGAGACATGGGTGGATTAGGAAGTAAACCAGAAGACGGCGGCTGAGCTTGAGGCTGACTTGGAACAGGAGGCTGAAGATGAGGATGAACTTGGCCTCCAATTGGACTTGGCCTCATAATGGGTGTTTGAGGGTAGTGCATGAGAAGTGATCCAGCTGCATTTCCCCAACCCGAGTCTACAGGGTCATTAACTCCTCTTGGGGAAGGGACAGGAGGCATGGGTGGATTAGGCAGTAAACCAGAAGACGACGGCTGAGCTTGAGGCTGACCTGTTCCAGGAGGCTGAAGATGAGGATGAACTTGGCCTCCAACTGGACTTGGACTCATAATGGATGTTTGAGGGTAGTGCATGAGAAGTGACCCTGCTGCATTTCCCCAACCCGAGTCTGCAGGGTCATTAACTCCTCTTGGGGAGGGGAAAGGAGGCATGGGTGGATTAGGAAGTAAACCAGGAGACGACGGCTGAGCTTGAGGCTGACCTGGAACAGGAGGCTGAAGATGAGGATGAACTTGGCCTCCAAGTGGACTTGGACTCATAATGGATGTTTGAGGGTAGTGCATGAGAAGTGACCTTGTTGCATTTCCCCAAACCAAGTCTCCAGGTATGAATGCTTGCACCATTGTAGGCGATGGCTGTCCAAAGAAAGCCAGATTAATAACAGTGAAAACATGAAAAAAGAGCTTGTTTCCATTTCTCTTAGCCTTTAAAGTTTGAAATTAATCTTAACCATGTCATCAAGTTTATAAATAAAATGGGATTTTATAAATAAACAAAGTACAAAGGGGTACTTGTGATACGGTATATTGCAAACAAAAAGAAAAAATGGGAAATATGGAGGATTAAGAGAAAGGTCAGACCTCTAAAGCTTCTTTAGTAACTTCAAACTTCTCACACATGGTCTCCTGCTTTATTTCAGTTTGCTGAAAGCTACTGAATTCAGCCTTCATTTAGAAGCAAAATAAATGCAGATTAGAGAAAAAAAACAAATCACGGAGAAATTGAAAATAAAAGAGCATGCTGGCTTTGATTCAAAATAGAGAATTAAACATGATTCCAGAGATACAGATTGATGGATATATGTATATATATATATATATATATATATATATAACATGAAAAACGTACATTAATATAGTTCATAAAATTGTAGAACTTACTGTCTCTTGTTCAATTGGTTCATTCATGGCTGCTGATGGACTATAATACCGAGGTCGACACTGACGGAAATATGACGCAAGGTCATCAATGTATGACATGAAAAAATCCTACATGAATTAAGGAAAAGTAAACAGTAATTCCATAATTATACTCTGTATGATATCAACAATCATAAATTAAAAATAAAATGAAGCAAAAATATCTATACCCCGTCTGACAAGTCTTCTTCCATTTTGTCCTGCAATATTTCTTTTTGGGCAGGAAATTTATCCTGCAAGTAATAGCCACAAAATGCAATAAATAGTTTCAAATTAACTTAACTTGTGAACATATATAGTCATTTGTGGCTAAAAGTCTTTCATTCCAATTAATGTACATATACTTGCCTCAATGAGACTTGTGGTATGATGTATGGGAAACAAGAAAGAAAAGATGGATATACGAGGAAGCAAAAGAATCAAAACCTTTGAAGCTTGCCAAACCTTCCCTAATTCTTCCCACGGGGTTCCTTTCCTTATGCCCTTCATTTTTGAAAATTCATGAAAAATGAAGGTAGAGAAATAAAGAATAGAAAATGAAAATGTAATTTTTTTCATTGCTCTTAATCATTTCATTCCCTGTTACGGACAGTTAGTTTGGATATATATGGTGCATAGGAAAAGAAAAAATTGGACGTGGATTGTGAAATTAAGATCACACCTCTAAAACTTCTTCAGGAACTCCAAGCTTAGACAAGATCTCCTGCAATGTGTTCGTTTCCTGACATTTAGTCTTCATTTCAAAGCATAACATATAATGAAAAAAATGTTCTACAGTCGACACTATTTCACATGATATTAGGGTTTTAGCAAAAGTCTTAGATGGTGCCACCGCTCAGCTTTGTCAAGGCTCCCCAGATACAGGATGTACACACCACCTTCCTTTGCAGAAGTATACCCGTCCTCTTATTATGGTTTTGCAGGGCTTGTCAACAGCCTTAGGTTTTATGCATTTGGACCATATAGTATGTTTAGTGTTGACTTTGTTATGTCTATGTTTCCTTGGTAGCCAAACTGCTAGAACTATATATGTAATCCTTTTATTTTCACGTTAATATAATATCTATGTTCTACCAAAAAAAAAAAAGCTAATAAACGGAGGGAGTAAGCAATCACACCTTTAAACTTTTAGGAGAGGAACTTCCAAATTCTTCTTGGAACTCGTTTGCAAATTTTTGGAGCCTCCGAAGCTCTACCTTCATTTCAAAAAAATGAAAGGTAAAAGATTCAATATATTAGCAGAATTAATGAATCTAACTAAACAGAAATTTAATTTGTCTATTACATCTATCTTTTATTTTTGTTCTTTCGCAAGTATCCTGTTATTTTCAACATAAGGCATGCTGAAAGAGAGTAATAAAAATTAAAAGAAAAGCTAAATGGAGGGAGTCAACGATCATACCTTTAAAATTTCAGGATTTGAAGTTCCAAATATTTCAAGGAGCGTTTTTCCAATATCTTGAAGCCTCAGAAGCTCAGCCTTCATTTCAAAAAATGAAAGATAAAGATTAAATGAATTGACTCACAAAAAACAAAAAGAGAGATTTGCTTGATTTTTGACATTTTATTTTTCATCTTTTTGGATGGAAGGAGAGTAAGAAGAGATTTCTTACGTTTCTTTTCAACCTATAGTTTTTACAACTATCGTTGTGCTTTTTCTTCTTTTGCTCGTCTGTTAATTCCAAGCGAGGCCGCCCTCGTTTCGGTTCCTGTTGTTTAGGCACATCTTCTTCAGAAGTGTCCAGGTTTCTCTTGTGACAACTTCCCACCACATTTCTGCCTCTAGTCTGCTGAGAATTATGTTCTTCCCTATCATAATCCATTGACCTCTCCTTACAATTTCTGCAGAAAAAAAAAATTACCAAATCCAGTTAGCTCATTAACTGAATTAACCAAGTTAACTGAACCTTGCACGCATTAATTTCTAGTAATAGCGCAACTAAATCAAGAAACAAAGGTAAAAAACAAAAGAAATAGATCCATTTAGGGAAACATAATCAAGATGACAAGCATCAATTGATCACGAAAGAGTACTAACTGTATAATTTCTACCAGACTGAGACACTTAAAAATGAGTAAACAGAGAGCGGGCTTACCTCTCCGGGGGATCTGTCTCAGTAGAAGAGGAACTTCAAGACAACCATTGTGCTGCATATGCGGGAGGGTTCCTCTTAATGGGTGGAATAAACATTTTTCATAGCGCTACATTAAAGTGGATAGACATAGGGCTAGCAGTCAAAGTCAAATATGATGTCTTTTTATAGCGCTATAATTATAATATTATATAATGATAGAGATACAGAAGTTTATAAAACGATCCCTCGGGAAATTCAACCATGAAAAAAAAAAAAAAAAAATTAAGAGAGAGTTTAGTAATCAACAAACAATACTTTCATTGCAAAAATTCCGGAAGACAGACATGCGAACAAGATCAGAATATTCTCTTCTTTTTTTTTTCCTTTTTTTTCTTTTTTTTGCCTCAAGATCAGAATATTCATTTTGAATCCAATATTATATCATCAAACCAGCAATCCGTTAACCATGTTTCGAATTTCCGCATATGAATTTTTCATTGAGGCTTCGTTAATACTTATTACATATTTTTCACACAGTATTTTATTTAAACATATAAATTTTTAATTTTTAATTATTTTAAAAAATAATATATATCAATTTTAGTTCTGTAAATATTAATTTATAAGTATTATTTTTTAATAAATATTTTGAGGAAAAAAAGAGTTGGATGTAGGCTTTTATTCCACACAATATTTTTTTT